GGAAGTGATGGTTGCCGCCACCGCAGGTGGCAGCGAACTCAAACCTGCCTCGTCCCGTCCAGGAGCCACACGTGCAGCCTCCAGAGATCGGGACGAGGGTGCCACAGAGTGCCCCGTCTCTGAGAGAGTAGGTCTTGTCTCAGAGGAATAGGCCAAGGAGGTGCTGCCGCGAGGAGCATGAGATCGGAGAACCACGTCTTGGTGGGCCAGTAGGGGGCTACCAGCAAGACCTGCTCCTCGTCCTCCTTGATCTTGCACAACACCCGTGCAAGGAGGCTCACTGGGGGAAACGCATACTTGCGTGGGCCCCGTGGCCAGCTGTGCGCCAGCGCATCCGAACCGAGAGAGCCCCAGGTCAGAGAATAAAACTGGGCGCAGTGGGCTGAGTCCCGGGAGGCGAACAGATCTATCTGTGCCTCCCCGAACTCTTTCCAGATCAGCTGGACCGACTGGGGATGGAGTCGCCACTCGCCGGAGATAGGGCGGACCCGAGACAGCTCGTCGGCTGCCCAGTTCCGGTCTCCAGGAATGTGAACTGCACGAAGGGACCTCAGGTGCTTCTGACTCCATATCAAGAGGTGGCGGGCGAGCTGCGACAACCGGCGCGAGCGTAGACCCCCCTGGTGGTTGATGTACGCTACAGCCGTAGTGTTGTCTGAGCGGACAAGCACATGCTGGCCCTTGAGCAACGCTCTGAAGCGGTGCAGGGCGAGCCGTACTGCCAGCAGCTCGAGGCAATTGATGTGCATGAGGCGCTGGGCCCCCGTCCAGGAGCCGGCGGCTGCATGCCCATTGCACATGGCACCCCAACCCGTGGTAGATGCATCCGTGGAGACGATGAGATGCCTGGAAACTCGCTGAATAGGGACGCCCGTCCGTAAAAAGCTGAGGTTCGACCACGGGAAGAAGGTTCGCCGGCATGTCGGAGTCACTGGGACTCGGAGCGAGCCGCGATGCCATGCCCACCTCGGGACTCGATCGCGAAGCCACAGCTGAAGCGGTCTCATATGAAGCAAACCGAGCGGCGTTGCCGCGGCCGCGGATGCCATATGCCCCAGGAGCCTCTGAAAAAGTTTCAGTGGAACCGCACTCTTGCCCTCGAACTGACGAAGACAAGTCAGCAGTGAGTGCGCGCGCTCGATCGTGAGCTGCGCGGACATGGCGACCGAGTCTAACTCCACGCCGAGAAAAGAGATCCTCTGCACGGGGCAAAGTTTGCTCTTTTCTCGGTTGACCCGAAGGCCCAGACGGGCTAGGTGCCGGAGCACCAAGTCTCTGTGTTCGCAAAGCTGAGCTCGAGAGTGTGCTAGTATCAGCCAGTCGTCGAGATAATTCAGGATGCGAACCCCGTGTTCGCGAAGGGGAACAAGGGCTGCCTCGACGATCTTCGTGAAGACGCGAGGGGACAGAGCTAACCCGAATGGGAGAACGGCGTACTGATATGCCTGGCCCTCGAAGGCAAACCGAAGAAACGGTCTGTGTCGAGGTAAGATGGACACATGGAAGTACGCGTCCTTCAGGTCGATCGCTGCAAACCAATCCTGATACCGAACACATTCGAAAATGCGTTTGGCCGTGAGCATTTTGAACGGTAGTCGATGGAGAGAACGGTTCAAAACGCGCAGGTCCAGGATCGGTCGTAACCCACCGGTCTTCTTGGGGACAATGAAGTAGGGGCTGTAAAACCCGGACTCCACCTCGGCTGGAGGGACCGTCTCGATTGCACCCTTCGCCAGCAGGGTCGCAATCTCCGCTCTCAGGACTGGGGCATTGCCACCGACTATCGTGGAGCGAACTCCCCTGAAACGGGGAGGAGACCGTGCGAACTGAATCGCGTAGCCGAATCTGATCGTTCTGATGACCCAGCGGGATACCCCGGGAAGCGCTAGCCAGGCTTCCAGGAAGTGAGCCAACGGGGTCATGTGAACCACAGACGTCCCCCGGAGGGGCAGCGTGGCGGGTCGACTGGCACGCGTGCAGGGGTTACCCCGCTCGGATGCGTCGAAGCCCGCTCCCCGACAGAAGGGACCAGGGAAAGCGGAGCGTTCCACGGGGGTCCGTTCTGCCGGGGGTCTGGCGAGAGAGGGGGAAGGGATTGGTGTAGCCCGGGGACGACACACGCACCCTTCCGCGCCCTCCGAGACAGAGAGGAGTGAGTGGGCCGACACCCTGGGGCATCGGGGGCACTCACTCCAGTCTGTGAGCTCAGTGAGGATGTCAAGTCTTTCTTTAACCAGTTCAGGGTGCTGCCCACCCGTGGGTGAGCAGCGGGGAGCTGAGAACAAAAGATTCTCCCCCGGCCCTCCACCGGGGGAAGGAGGGGGCCTGCTACCGCCTCCTGTGAAAGACTCGAGATCGTCACTGAGCGGCCCGTGTCAGGATCTTCGCTTGGCCTGGCGTTTAGCGGGGCGAGCGGCCTGAGGGGGCTGTGACGCCGGCCTGCGGCCTCCTCGACGCCGGGGCCCGGGTGAAGGCTGCTGCTGGGGCCGGGCGGGAGGGAGGGAGCCGCAGGGGGCGTCCTCGGCGGCGAGCAGGGGGAGGCGCCTGTGCCGACGACTGGGTGGAGGCAGCAGCTGGTCGTCGGGGCAGGATGTGTTTGATGGCCTCCGTCTGCTTCTGGCGGTGGAGAACTGATGGGCGAAGTCCTCGACCGCACCGCCGAAAAGGCCAACCTGGGACAGCGGAGCGTCGAGCAGACGAGTCCGCTCAGCGCTCCGCGTATCCGACAGGTTGAGCCACAGATGACGCTCCTGAACCACGCTAGTGGCCATCACCTGACCAACGGCGCGAGCAGCCACTTTCGTTGCCCGGAGAGCAAGGTCAGTGGCGGACCGCAGTTCTTTGAATGCCGTCGTGTCAGTCCCGCCCTCGTGCATGTCTCTGAGCAACTTCGCTTGGAAGACCTGCAAAGTGGTCATAGCATGCAGAGCGGAGGCCGCCTGTCCCGCCGCTCTGTAGGATCGCGCCGCCATAGCAGACGAGAACCCACAGGCTTTGGATGGGTGCTTAGGAGGACCACGGGTGGAGGCGCTCTGTGGACACAGCTGCATCGCAACAGAGCGCTCCACCGGGGGCATCCCAGTGTACCCACGGGCGGCCCCGCCGTCGAGGGGGGGAAAGGCGGGGGAGAGATCGCGCTCTCGAGTGGACAAAGGAGCCCCCAAGAGCGCGACAACTCCGCATGCAGCTCGGGGAAAAAAGGTATTGGAGTCGGCCGTGGCTTCGCAGCGGCAGCCTTGTCCAAAAACCAATTATCCATCCGTGAGAGGTCGGGGCAGGATGGAGGTTTCCATTCTAGCCCGATACTCCCAGCGGCTCGAGACAGCATGGCCGTCATCTCGGGATCTGACGCGGACAACGCTGGGACTCCCGAAGGAGGCAACGCAGCCGGATCTTCCTCTCCCGAGGAATCAAGCCCGCCTAGTGATGCTGTGATAGACATCGCATCATCATCTGGGGCGCTGCTCGAAGCAGCCGGTGCCGCCGAAGAGACAACCGACCGAGTCGAACTAGCGCCCGCTGGCTCACGCACTGAGGCGGGAGGTGTGGCCCGAGGAATCGTCGGGGCTTTATCCCACACCGTCACCGTTAGATCGCCCGGTCCCCGGGTCGACGGGCCCCCTCTCGTGAAGGAAGCCGATCGAGTAGGGGGGACCGGGGCTCTCACTCTAGTGAGATCATTGAGCCGCGACCTCAGTGTGGAGATGGTCATGGTCCCACAGAAGGAACATGAGTCATCCACGAACGCTGCTGCTGCATGCTGAATGCCCAAGCAAACAAAGCAGCGTTCGTGACCATCAGATGACGACAGAAATCTACCACATCCAGAAGGGCACGGGCGAGCCATCTTTAAAAAGACGTGCCGCGTGCAGCTCTTTTACAGAGAGGAGAGAAATTCACTCTTTCAGCGCTGAGGCTACCAGGGAGAAGCGCAAAGTCTGGCAAACCACTGCACAGATCGCAGGCAATGCAGAATCTCGCTGGGTACCGCCGTCACACCAACACTGAAGAGGACGCTCGTCTCGAAGAGTCTTGAATCAGCTTTGAGGAGTGAAGAGGTTCTCTTGGCTCCGAAGCGAAAACATACTGCGGTTGCGTTCACTTCCTCCTTTTATACTCACGGAGTAGGGCGGAGTACGCTATGCAAATTTCCGCAGCCCCAAGGCATTGCATGCCATTGGCTCGTGTTTTAATACTCGAAGAGGATTGGCTTTCTATGCGAAACCCCCAATCTCCGTCACTTCTGACGTAACTCGAAGTGACTACGATAGGGAACACTTTCTTCTCCATTCATCATAATGACTTAGGCCTTTTTTGTTCAGTGTTACACTTACTACAGACATTACATACATAAGTGTGTTGTAAAATGTTTGAAAATATTGTTTTTTATACCCAGAACACACAAATACACGGTAACAAATATATTTTATTTTTTCCCACAAAATCAATGGGAGATAGATCCCACATTTTGTACACCCCAACCAACACAAAGTTGCACATACAGTGGTCTATATACAAAACAACAGAATTTTTTATGCTGTTACAGTAAAAAAAAGAAATAAAAAAATATCTATGCTGCATCCTCTCTTTGGTTTTGATATTTTATGCTAAAGCTCTGATTGCTAATTGTAAAACTGTGTGAAATGTGTTTGCCCATGTGACGAGTCAGTGTGAATATTTGAATGGCAGTGTGTTCCTCATGAAAACAAGAGATTTTCTGCATGAAAATTGTGTCAAATGCAGAGAATTGTGTGTAGTGTTTTGAAAAACGTGTGTTTTAGAACTGAAATTTGAGTGTAAAGCAGGAATTGTGCTTGTAGTTCAGCAGAATTGGTTCAGGGGGTTGGTGAATGAGTTACATGTTGTCGTCATTGTGTCTCAAGTACCAGAAAATGTGTGTAAACAATCGAGAAAAACTGTAATATAAGTCCTTGCTTTCAATCACTTTTAGCAATTTCTTTCAACAGTTTCATTTCTAATTTTCATCATTTATTTCCTAGCTGAAAAAGAAAACTAAACGAGCCCATGGCACTTTTCTCAAGCCGGTCTCTTTTGCGGAGAGGGATGAGTATGGGCATCTTGTGCCTAAACGGAGAAGGCAAAAATCTGCAAAGGCAAAAAAATGTAATGGTATGTCTGCTATAATTTGCACAATGTATTCTAGTACCTCGTACAGTTTTCTCCTCTGATAATGTGTTGCACTGTCATTTGCCTGCACTGTATATTTGTATTAATCTCTAATAAATCTCTATTTATAGCTACAAAGATCAACAATTTAGTTAGTACATCATCTTTGGAGTCTGGACAAGGATACATTGATCATGGTGAGTAATAACACCATCAATTGTCACAAATCATGCAGGGTTATTATTAATTATTTATGTCTTATTGTTCCCAGGTGAAAGTTCATCACTGTCTGCTCGCACTGTTTGCCCAGCTGTCGAAGATATAGGTGTGTATTATTGTGTCATTACTGCTTTGTAATTATCAATCAAACCAAGTGCCATGTACAGTATAATCGTGTTAGTTTTTTCTTATACAGAAACTCTTCATCAAGAGGTAGAAGATCTGCTAGCTGATAGTGAAGACATTCAGTGCATAAATCCGACTTCCTCAAACACTTGGTCTATTCGCATGGCGCAGAGCAAAAAGAAGTGGGAAGCTTTGAGGCCAGAGATAGTGGAATCTTTATTAATGGCCGAGTATACAGAAATCAAGCAGTGCCAGCATTGCAGACTGAAGCCGTCTATTATCCGCTGTAAAGACTGCTATCCTAAACAGCTGTACTGTGGAGACTGTGATATACTGGCCCATGAGAGGAAACTTCACAACCGAGAGACAAATGTGAAAGGATTCTTTCAGCCCCTATCCCCAACAAGTTTGGTGAAGGTGGATATTGAAGGCCAATTCCAATTTGAAGAAAAAAGTATGTAGTTCCTTTTTTTTTTTCCAGAATTATAAAAACTTAGAATCTATCATGTGAATTTCCATAATAATAATTTATTATGGAATCATAATAATAATTTAACACTATTTTAACACTATTTTATTTATGGTAACTTAATAAATTTTTTTTTAGATTGCCTTTTGCCTCTTGAGGCACCTGAGCAAATGTGCCAATGTGCCACTGATACCATTGAGATGTCAGAAGGTAAAAGGGCCATTCTTATAGGAATCGATGGTGAGTCCAGTGTAGAAAAAACAAATATTTGAATGATTGTTTGTTTTGTTATATCACAAATACATTATACATACACTGTTATTATTTCAATAGGTCGCTACAATGTCAGCTTGCCACACTTCACGTGTCCAAAATGTCTTGTGAGCAGAACAACCAGCATCCCGCAACTGATCAAGTCTGGTTACTGGCCTGCCACAGCAAGCTGTGAAACATTATACAAAATAGATGTGTTTGTGTCCTATGACCACATGAAACTCACTGCTCCTGGAATGTCTAGACAGTCTTTCACCAGTTTATTAGAACAGCGGACAGAGTTCTTTGGCCGAGTATTAATTGAATTAATAACCAATTATTTATTTTTTATCTTTCTTTCTTTGGAGTGAGCTTTTTCTTATATGGTTTTTGATCGTTTTGTTTTATAGAATGGAAAGATATGCGCAGATGCTTTTCAAAGAAGTTTTTTTGAATGGAGATACTGCCAGTTTGAAATCGATCAGCTCTGTGGACTGAAAGTATTTGACTGTCCAGCCTGTTCTCCATTTATGCTTGCTGTGGCCGTAGATGGTAATAGAAAAATGTATCGCTTCAAAAGAGGGTAGGGGAAGTTATATAATTGTCTTTCAAAAAGCATTTCAAAATAGTATTTCATTCCAGTTAGTTTTTCATTAGATAATTAATTGAAGCCCTTCTACATATTTTCAAGGGATGAAGATCATGGTCTGTTTAAGGGTGTCTTTGTCTGTGAGGATGAAGATGTTTCCAAGTTTGTGGACTACATTAATGATAAGACAAAGCATGTAAGTAGTATTGCTGTTTAATTTTTGTGATCTTTGAAATTGTACTGTATATCCTGAACAAAAATAGGAATGCAATGTTTCTACAATAGCAAAATTAAAACTACAATAGCAAAATTAAGAACAATGATATGAATTGTAAAATATTGACATCTTATATGGCTTGAAATTACAGTAAAGCAAAAAAAATGCTAACAGTCTGAGCTGTCTTTACACATATGTATTTAGACATTTACCCATATAGGTAATTTAGTACTGTGTTGTTAAATAATCACATTATTTTTCTTTCACTTTGTTCTCATCTTGATAGTCAGTTGGTAAAGGTGTCTGTGGATCGAGTCAGTGGACTGCAGCACGGGAGTCTGTCCTAAAGACAAACAACAAGTTGGATGAGGAGGGCATGGAGGTGGCTGTCTGTCGACATGGTGTGCTTCTGAGAAGTCTCAACATGATGAGGGGAGAAATATTTGCATACCCTTTGTATCTACAAAAGGAGTTGACTCCCAGGAATGTGCAGTTCATGTGCACAGATGTAATATGCAAGTACTGGCCATACCTGAACAGAGTTGTTAATGATTGTCCAGAGCTCTCTCCTCTCCTGGACATGAAGCCATTCCTGTCAGTGATGCATGCAAAGGCCCACTCTTGGAAATGTGAGGTAAACTGTTTTCCAGAAAATAAAGATACGAATTTGTGACTTCTGTAGTTACTTTCAATAATTGCTGCTTATATTCTAAAACACATTGTTGAGATTATTTTAACCCTGTTAAATATTTGATCCATGCACAAGATTAAGTGGGGTGGTCGAAACCAAGATGGAGCAGGCACCACCTTGGGTGAAGAGGTCGAACAAGTGAATAGCTTCTTGTCAAGAACTGCTATATGCAGCAAATACATGACCAAAGGAGGTAAGTGTATGCTGCAAACAGACAATACAAAGTTACCAAATAGAAGTTAAAGGTACACACAAAATACATTAGTTTTTGAATGACATTAGTATTAAACTTTTGCCTGATCCTGTATCCATGCCCAGATGCCTTAGCGCAAGTCAAGACCATTTTCATATTTGCATTCAAAATGAATAAAAAAATTTAAAAAGTAACATTTATTTATTTTTTAACATAAATAAACTATTAACTTTAACTATTGATTTTTTTTTTTTTTTCATGTATTGTTTAGCTAGAACAGACATGATTACTATCCAGGCCATGGCATGGAACCAACGCAAAATTGAGAACCTAGCAAAAGTGCTGTCCCGAAGATTAATGAAGGTATATTTCTGAATTGCCCTTATCTTTTACAGATGAAAGCTATTTTTTAGTGTTTAATAATGTCTATCGCAGTTTGTAGTGCAAATAAGTAGGTAAGTGTTACAGAACAAACACTAAAAAGTCAAAACCTTTGCTACTTATAAAATTGTTTTATGCTGTTTTCCGTGCCCATGTTCATTAATCATGTATCCAGTCAGTACTGTTAATGTTTTAATAAATGCACTTAATGGTGTTTTGTTATTCATTAGACAAAAGCAAAAATTCAGGAGGAGTCCTTAAACCTTGAAGCAATGAAGACAGATTTGGCAGTAACGGATGATGAGCTTCAAGGCTGGATCAGTGAAATCAAGCAGTGGGCAGATACAGGTAGTCATGTTTTAGATTACCTTAACACTGTACTTTAAATACCAAAAGGTAACACTTTATTTTTTGATGTCCGTGATACTCACAAATATATTCACAAAATGAATGACTACCGGCCAGTTTGACGCTCTCCCCGGCGGCGGTGTGAATGCACAGTAAGGCAAAAAGCCTGCAGTTACACATGTTCATTTTGTACCTTCTAAAATAAAGTTGGTCAATTTTGTACTTAAGTGTACTTTATGTGTATCTACATACCCTATCCATCTGAAATAACCCTTTAGTTTACAGATTAAATACATGCAGTAGCTTCTTAATTGCATTCAATTTACAAAATATTACACAGGTATGAGCTACGTAAAATAAAGTGTATCAAGATTGTACTTATGTGTAATTCATGTGTATCTACAAACCTTATCCATATGTACTTTAGTTTGATTTAGGCCTAACTCCCTTGTTCACAGCATAAATGCATGCGGTAGCTTCCTAATTACATTGCAATTACATAATATTACACAGGGATAAGCTACGTAAAATAAAGTGCGTCAAGATTGTACTTAAGTGTACTACGTATGTATCTACCTTATACACATGAAGTACACTTAAGTACAAACTTAATACACTATTTTAGAAGGTACAAAATGACCATGCAAATGCAGCCTTTTCTCATAGTAACATATTTAAGTACTTATTACATTGAGTAGTACAAAGTACTTTATTATATAATTACATTGTACGGTAACACGTATGTAACAGACTCGGCCTGTTACATATGTGTAACAGTAGCTGCCTATTACATGAGTGTAATTACAATCTGTAAGTACAGGCTGTTCCATAACTTAGTTGCATGTTAATTACATTTTGTTACATGTTATTACAATGTCAACTACTCAGTAATTAATTAAGTAATTACACTGCATCACGGACACCGTAAAATAAAGTGATACCGTACAGTTAAATTTCTATTGTTAAAAGCATATCTTATCAATAATTTAGCAACAAGTGAGGAGAACGCAGGCAGTCAACAGGGGCTGCAAAAGATGATTGAGACGCTTTATGTGAGCATCAGGCAGAGGAAGCAAAACCTTTACCATCAAACAGGTTAGAGCACTTTTAACAATAAATAATTTTAAAGCTTTTAACAATTTCTTGGGGCAAAAAAAATAAATGTTATGTATTTCAAGCATTCATTGTAGTATGCAGCAGCAAAATACATATTTAAATACATCCCTTTTTTGTCTTTATATAACGTTTACTTTAGAAAAGTCTTAAATAGAACATATGATCTCATGCTTTTGTCTTTTTAGATGGAAACAAGAGAAGACACAAACTCCGCAGAAAGATTTTGGAGGAAAAAGCCAAACTTAGTGCAGCTGTAGATGAATACAACAAGGCAGCACTTGAAAAACTGCAGTCAGCTGATGCAATTCTGGCATCTGAGAGTTATGCATGGCCATGGCTACTGAATGAGCGTGGTATGTCTTGTTACTCATTTAAATTCTGATATATGTATCGATCTATCTGCTTACATTGGATATTGTTTATGCCTATTGTGCATCAGCTTTTGTCTCAGCTGTACCAATATATTACTTGCTCTGCAGCAGTGTAATCTAGCCCCTCAAGACCAAATGCAGTAACTTACCCATTCTAACTTATATCCATAATATCTAAATTATATACTAAAAACTTATTTTGAAAGTTGTCATTAATGAAATGTAATATATTCACTAAAACTCAATTGTTGTCATTAGGATTGTCTCTGTTTATACATGCAAGTGTAAAAATATTTATGTTTATTAATTTATCATTTCAATATTTAACATACTTTGTACAAAGTAAACTGATGCACTATTCCTTGCATTATTTTTGAAAACATCTTCACAGATAATCTTATCACCAAAAAAAAGGCCTTTGACCAACTGATGCTCCTGAACCGGCTTACTGAAGAGGAGTGCATTGTCCTAAAAGAGATCAAAAATCACTGGAAAAGCCTCAAAAGAGAACATTCTGTTCTAAACGATCATTCAAGCCATATTGCTGTTGAAATGGAAAAGAACAGTAAGTACTACATAATTTCCTGTTTATCTTGTGTAAGCAGTAATAACATCAATACCGTATATCCACAATACCAGGCTCTATAACTGAACCTGTGGTAATTAGCCTTAACTGCTGCTCTATACTGGTGAATAAGTTAATTGATGCTGTAAATTCAGCAGAAAATTATTGCAGAACACAACTCCATTAAAATTACATGCTTTATTTAGTGTTTTTTGTGTTACTTGCAGAACAGGACTGTGGATTTTCTGAAAGTGGAATTCTAGGACTTCACTCTCTTCTGAAAAAAAAAATGTCCTACCTCAAAAGTCACATCTCCTCTGTTCGTCAGCTGTACAGTAGTGTACTCGACAATTGTGAGCTGAAAGAAGATGACTACATGGAGGAGGAGGATATCCAGTATGGTTTGAATGAGGAGGAGGATGAGGATGAGGACGAAGAGGATTTTTGAGGACAAGCTAGTTTTCAATGGATTTTAACTTCTCACCTTGGCCTTTTATTTTACTGAGGATGGAATACAATACACCAGGGATGGGCCCGGTACGGCTTACTTTGTGGCGCTTTTCCACTGCATGGTACAGCTCGCTTTAAATGGTACCACCTCCAAGCCGACCATACAGATACTAAAATGTGACGTGAACACACTGCAGATCCCTGATTGGCCAGACAGAATCGTCACTACCAGCGTCATTGTATTTGTGAGACATCGCTAGATTTAAAGAACAGCCAGTTACAGCCACCGCTGTAGCGCCTGTTTTAAAACTACTTGCTTGACTTGCTTGAAGAAAAAATAAAGAAAAAAACCTTCCAAAAAAGAAATTGCTGAATCGTGGTCAGTGGACGAAGTGCAGACCTTCCTCTTGTTTGTTTGCCGAGGAGCGGACAAACTATAACGGTCAGACTGTAATCCCACCCACTTTGAAGCAGTACAAAAGCAAACCGAGCTAAAGCGAACCATGCTGAGTTGAGTCGTACCATGCAGTGAAAAAGCGAAGCGAGCCGAACCGTACTGAGCCGTACCATGCAGTGGAAAAGCGCCATAAACTCTGCAGGTGGCCCTCCCGGACCGAAGTTGCCCATCCATGCAATACACAGTATTTTTTTTTTTTTTATCTGAATTGAGTATAAAACTTCTGACTTTTGGCAGCTAGCATCAACTTGTCCAGACCTCAAATCAACACAAACATCTAGCCAAAAGTTGTATTGTGTATTATGTTTGTTAAAACTTATATTTAATACCTGTTTTCTCTTATCATATTTTGACATAATGTGGCTAACACATGATACCCTTAACACACCCTGAACATCAAGAATATACTGTAATTTCATTTCCATTAAATCTCTACTGTCTTTGTTACATGATTAAACACCGACAAGGTGTGCTATGTAATTCTACAGTTAAGTTCTTATGTTTGCATATTAAAATTCTTAATTGACATTGTAAATCATCACTAGAATTGCACTCACTATTGTTATTTTACTCAAATAACTAAACAAAATGTAATTTACAATGCATGACCCTCTGCACAATGTTTTACCATTGTATATTCATATTCTCTTGTCAAAAATAAAAATAACAAAGTGTGATGCTTAACCTTCAAATAGTCTTGGTTTCCTGTTTACACTTCTGGGCTAGCGGGTCTATACGACCCCAACAGTTGATTGAGTAATTTTACAAAAAAATTATACATTTTTAATCATACAAATAATGTATATTTTTTTTTGTTTACTTCTCATCTATTCAATAATGCTGTGTTTTTGGAGATATAAAGTACTTTTGTATCCATATACCACACAATTCCTCAACCACACCATTAGCTTGCATATGAAATAAAATAGTATTTTTTATTTCATTGCATTTATGCTCTAGTACTATGCCTTCATATCTGAGAAAAAAATTTCAGATTTATGCCGGATTTTTTTTTTTATTATTATTTATTTATTTATTTTTTGACACATGAAGAAAAAATATATATATATATATATATATATATATATATATATATTCATATTTCCCATTCATTTTAATGTGGGGTCATATTGACCCTGAAGATCAGAAGTGGAAACATTTTTTTTTTTTTTTTTTTTAACATACCTTCGAAACAACCGAATCAAGCCCAGTTTTTGTGTGTATAGATAGATAATGTATGAAAAGTCACAAAATCTTATTCCACTGAGATGAAGGGAACCTTTTTTTATTAAGTAAATGTCGATTGGGGTTGAAATAGACCCCATAACCCGATTGAGGGCTAGTGCTACAGTTTAGATGTCTAAAAAAACGTACTGTGTTTATTATGAAGGAGGGGGGGAGGGGGGGGGGGGTCAACGCTTCTGTTCTACATCAAGTTAAACACAAAAAGGGATCTATAATTTTAAAATGTTAGTTATATAACGAAGAGATGTATTTCAGAAACCTGTAAGTGCATATAAAACCGGGAGATCTTGTCAAAAATGACCATATATGGATAAGGAAGCGTGGCGTCTCTGTTAAAGCCGTGTTGTCATTGGCTGCCCAGCACTGGCATGATTCTCTCTGGACGTATTGTCTTTAAACCCGTTTTAAAAAGAGCCTCGTGCTCCAAGTACGTTTTGCTGTTATTATTACGTCAATAATAAGGTCAGTTAACAATATTGCGTTGTTATGTTATAAAGAAATTGTCCCTTTACCGAGATCCTAACCCTGAGCCTACACACTTCAAAAACTACAAGTATCAACGCAATGGTTTCCCATTCCAATAGTATAATGACAGAGGCTTATGGGTAAGGTAGTTTACAATATGTAGGGATTCAATTAAATAAACTGTATTATTAATGAATTTTTTTTCCCCAAAAATATGTTAATTGGATAAACCTCTGTAAGATATATGAGAGGTATGCTGTAATTTAGTATTTTACTGTGCACACTTTTTAAAACACATTTATACCACCTTTCCATACATGTCTGGCAGCTGTGTCCAAGATTATTTATCAAGCATAGTAGTAGTAGTAATTGTCTTGCCAAGTTTCTTTTAAATACACTAATCAGACTTTGATTTGCAGCCAGTTAAAAAGTGAGTTTTTTTGGCTCTTCCGTGGGGCACTACTGGGCCCCTGGGGGTGGAAGGGCAATAAAACCGACACGTATACTCATCATGTACAGGAAACTGTTCAATAACATTTATATTAAGGAAATTTATATTATATATGTCAACAGCATTTTCTGGAGTCTGTTTGGTTACTACTGTGCAGGAAGTTATGTGGGGCACTAGAGATTCATAGTTATAGTGGCCATAGGGAACAGAACGGCACACTCTCAGAAAAAAAGTACAAAAGCTGTGACTGTGGTGGTACCTTTTCAAAAGGTACACCTTTGTACCTAAAGTGTGCATTTTAGTCCCTAAAAAGTAAATGACCGTACCCCGGTGAACGTGATTTCACCAAGTAACACATGTTCCTGGATCAACATCTTTGTTGACATCTTTCGAATCAACAAATCAGATTTGAGGGACAAGTTTACCGTTTATGTCAAGTTTAGGCTTAGAACCAGGGTTAAGTACTTAAACATCAGTGTTATTCACCTTTCATTACCCTCTGATTTTAGGGAAAATTTATGGGAAGGGTTAGGTTTATAGGGGTAGGAATTGGCTGAGGACTACATTTTGGGACAGGAATGTTAGTCAAAATACAAAATATGTTGATCCAGGACCATATCTTACTTGGCAAAATGACAGTGAAAAGTGTACATATTAAAACCCTTTTGAAGGGTACTGTCCCAGTGACAGCTTTTGTACCTTTTTTCCTGAGAGTGCACCCAACCCAGAGTTGGGGCAACCTGAGGATAAAAGATTGAACAGCATAACATCTGCTGTGTCTAGCTAGCTTAAATCATGAGAATATGTGGAATATTTATTTAGCAAAAATGAATATATAGGCTACAGATTATCTCTTTATATTTCTTTCTTTGTTTTCTTAAATGGTGGTAATGGGTGAACCAGATTGTTTCAAAGCAATCACTCTCGCAGTAATAAGCTTATAACAATACTGAAAAACTAACAGAATGCTGCATTTCAAATATGACACAAATTCAAATTCTGCTGAAAAAGCAGCTCTAACAATAAGTTTCATTAGTCAGTTAAATAACTGTGAAATTTAGCAATTATTTCAAAGACCTTGCTTATAAAAAATACCTCTCCATCTCCATGCTCTTCCTTATGTGCTGGACATCAGTAACACATCCTCTTGATTGTATAGCTCCCATGTTAATCATTCAAGTTGTGCCAAACGCGTAATTTTAAGCACCTTCCCTTCATGTAACTGAAATTTGGTGTATTTGCCACAGCATGTTTGTTAAGTGTTGGTTTATTATTGTCTCAATTGTCACTAATATGACTACAAAAAACGTTTCAAGTAAAAAAAAATCATGGTTAATGTTTATTTATATATATATAAAATATTATATATTAAGAAATTAAAAAAAACAACAACATGGTTGTACATGGAATGCATTTTATATAGCGCTTTCATAGACCAAATGGCCACCAAAGCGCTTTGCATTTTTGCCTCACATTTACCCATTCACTCACTCATTCATTCATACACCGACAGCAGTGTCAGCCATGCAAGGCGCCGTCCAGAACAGGCGAGGTTAGGTGTCTTACTCATGGACACCTCGACACTTGGTCAGGTGGACACTTGGTCACCGTCCGGTTTGTAGACAACCTATATGAACCACTAAACCACTGCCACCCCTTATATCTCATGATATCTATGAAATTGTTTAACACTTCAATACACAATACTCACCACACTTACAGACAACACTCTATAAACAGAACTTTATTGTAGGATAAACTGTATGATACACATGTTGTTTAAATAATGCTAACCAAATGTATATAAGCACAATTAGTACACATACTGTGTTAATTTCTTTATATGTATTGCCATATTTGTGTATGAATTTAAACAGACAGTATTGCCCTATAGTAACTACTGCATAGCTTCCTCCGAGACCCAGGTACTCCTCCACTTCTTGCCACTATGGAGAAAAAAATATGGACAGAATTGTTATTATGAAATCACCCTTCGCCAAAAGATGTCCAAACAGTGTATATGCGTTGTCCTTTTATTGTCCTATTTGGAAAGTATAAATGATAAATGAAAAGACATCTTGTTTTTGATTTGTTTTTACAATGGGGAAATAACAATTTGGCTTAATTTCTCAGTTTCTGTTGTTGTTTCTTTCTACAAATTGGTTTATTGTCCTATATTTCATTCAGACATGTACAGTAGGAGGAGACATAATTACAATTATCTTATTGGTCAAACTGCCTCATATTCTCTACAGCATGAATACGCTCATGTAAATGGGGGATGGTACGGCATTGCCAAGTCATAATTTATGACAAACGTCACCTTTATTTGTGTAGCACTTTATACAATACGACTTGCCAAGCGTTGCCTGCAAGTATGATGCACGAGACATTGCAATAAATAGGCTACAAGTAGTTTTTAGTAGGCTAGTTTTATATTTAATAACATGTTATGTTTATATTTATATTTAAGTAGTTCAATGTGTTTCCACTGATAAAAACAATGAAAATAGTTCCTTCACATTAGATAAGTCATAATGTTATTAAATATAAAAACAATAATAAACAATTTATTTACAAAACTGCTGTGCAAGTTGCAGAACCACTAATTATGTGCCCAGCAACATATTTCTGGTGTGCAGTTCTTCAGATGGCATAAGTAATTAACAGTGAGTGGTGGTCCACAACAATATTTTATTGAATTTGAAGCATACTGGCAGTGCCATAATGACTCTTCGTGGGAAGAAAAGCTGTTTGACCAATCAGATGAAAGAGGCATTTTAGTACCTATCATGTGTGCAAATGAAAAAAAAACTAAGCTTTCTGAATGATTGTTTTCCATTTGTAAAACTAAACAAAAAAAGAAAATGAAACTTTAAAAATCTGTTTACACCAATACTATTATTTCAATACTCCATCAGTATTTTTTAAAAACTACTTCTCATTATTTACAAAACATTCTTTTTTTGAAAGAAAATGATAAACATTTAGGTCAAAAATATCCTAATGATCATGGAAGGGTAGTTTCCTAGGTGAATATTAAGGTTACCAATTGTTATATTAAAGGTGCTCTAAGCGATGTCACATGTTTTTTTAGTCCAAAACATTTTGTCACATACAGCAAACATCTCCTCACTAGCTAGCTGCCTGTCCCCTGAACACACTGTAAAAAGATGCGGTCTCTGCAGACACCCCAGGCTCCACAAACGGCAACAAAAACAAACTGGGCTAACCCGCACCACGAAACATAGGCTGAATCCCAATTCTCTGTCTTACCCCTTCCCCTTACCCCTTCCCCTTAGTTTTGCGCGTTCATGTGAGAGGAAGGGCTATCCCAATTCTCATTTTGATCTAGGGGTAGGGGTAAGGTGAAGGGGTATATACCCCTTAAGACCAAGAATTTTCGCGAGCTTACTTGAAACCAAGGGGTAAGAAATGCACAAGTTTTTTCGCTTAAATGATTAATAAAAACATATGACTGTCTTGTTTTTTGCTCTACACAATTAGGTACATATTTGTAACTATGTTGTTTATTGAAACGTTTTTAAAGTTTCTAAAAATCGCTACTTTGCTACGCTAGGCTATGCTAACGTTACATTGCTGTTTTGCACAATCAGTCCCACATTTCAAGATCACCCAAAATGTCCGGGATTCAGCTTTTGCTTTCTACAGTCGCCTTTCATTATGTGTACATTATTTGACACAGACACGTACGTGATCAGCTTCTCACATGATGCATTCAGCTTCAAACGGATCCCGACTGAGACGAAAACGCAGGAATATTAGATCAACAATACATTCAGATTCACCGATTTAAATGAATGAATTCAGTCTGATTGAAACAACACCTTGTGCAGGTAAACATAATGAATAGTGAAGACGGAAAGCAAAAGCCCAATCCCAGACATTTTGACGGCATCTTGAAAGTTTCGAGAAGTTTGTGATCAACACTTGTTGCCCCGGCTGACACACAGACGCCAGTTAAGGACGATGCAAGATGATGTAACCGAGTGGTGTCTCATTTCATAGGGTTATGTTTGCCCTAGCGCTTACCACTCGGTTTCGAGGGACAAGGGCTAGGGATAAGACGAAGGGGAAGGGGTAAGACAGAGAATTGGGATTCAGCCTTAACAAACTGTTCCAGCCAATAACCGACAAGCAGGATTTGGGGGGTTAGTGCACGGATGAGGAGGAGGGAGGGTCTAGCTGGCCTCCATTTTGTTTGACAATACTTTAAACGTCAACATGAAGTGACGTCACCCGACATCGCTTAGAGCAGCTTTAAGCTACTAAATGTATGTGTATACTGACCAGGATGCGCAAGGCTGCCATCGGAAAAGAAATTCTTTTCTTCCCTAAGAACAGACAGAAAAAAATTGATCAACATCTGTTATATAATAAAATGTAAGCCCTTTTCGGGCTATACAGCATAAGGAATAAAAGGAACTGATTTATTATACTTATTAGGGCTGTCAAATGATTAATCACGATTAATCACATACAAAATAAAAGTTTTTGTTTACATAATATATGGGTGCACTGTGTATAATTATTTTATATATATATAAATAAACACGCATGCATGTATATATTTAAGAAATATTTTCATATTTACTGTATATAGATTTATATATCATTTATATTATATATAAATATTTTATATATAAATAAAAAAAAATCCTTAAATATACATGAATGTTTGAGTATTTATAAATATACAAAATAATTATACACAGTGCACCCACATATATGTAAACAAAAACTTTTATTTTGGATGTGATTAATCATTTGACAGCCCTAATACTTATATTTTCATGTACTTTTCTACCTAACAATTATGTAAAAAATATGGATAATATACTGGATTGGGATTTTCCAAATTACAATTATTTACTGACCCTGCTTCAGTAAGAAAAGGCATATGTAATATTGTAATTATTTTGAGGGTTCTAATGAGGAATAATCTGTAGTAATGAAGTGGCTTTTTTCTTTCTTGATTTTGACCAACCTCCCTAACTCTCTCCCTTACAACCTCTCCATGGTACACATCCTGGCTGTTGTGTGAGCATTCTGCAATGCAACAATACACATCTGTAATTACAACTGAATTAAACAACAACTAAAAGAAACTAACAAATAACATTAAAAACAACTTTAAACATTTTTTTTCCAAATAGGCTGAGTGTAGTTTATTTAACAATTAACAGGATTATAGAGATGGAAAAATAATTACCATTTCCATTATGTTTTCGTCTACGCTTCCTTTGCGTTGGCATGTAGAACACATTGGCAGCAGAGGTGGAGTCACCGGCAGCAAAGGCAGAGTTGTTGGCTGAAGAGATTTAGGGAAACAACACTTAGAAAAAAAACCCGTTACATTTATAATTAAAACTATTATATTTAAATTTATTATAATTATACATATTAAAACAATTTTTACATTTCGGGCTGGTGGCGGCAGAGGAGTCACCATTGGCCACAGAGACAGGCTCCACGAAAGAAGAGGCAGAGCCATCGGCTGTAGAGATTTAGGGAAAAAACATTCTCAAGGGGCTTTCACACAGGACGTGGTATGCGCTGCGCTTTGAAACCCATTCATTTCAATGGCTTCATTCAAATGGTGCAGCGGTGCGCACCATTGACTTGCTCGCGCGCACGCCGCGGTCAAAGTTCAATATAGTTTAACTTTTACCGCTGCGCTCTGTGACGATTATCAGCGTGGCCAATAGAAACGGGACATAGAAACAAACACGGAAATCAAAATGGATGAACGGCTATTACTGTCGGAATTTCTTGAGCTGTACGATACAATTTTGACATCGTCAGAAAAGCTGTCATGGAGACATATCTCCATTCAAGTTGGCTTGTCAGGTGTGTTTTAATATATTTATAATTTCTTCCTTTGTTGTCAGATTTAATGTTTGAATAAATGTTTTATTCTAAAAAAGAACTGAGCTCATGATTCGTGTGTTGATTTCGATGTTATATGTGTACATGCACAAACATATATTCACGTATATATAATATCATATGGCATAGCGCAACGCAAATCACATTGTATCTGAATGGCAACGCTCAACCCAGCGGCCAGCGCAGCGCATACCGCGTCCTGTGTGAGAGCCCCTTTAGGAAAAAACTGTTACATTTATAATTAAAACTATCATATTGAAATGTATTACAATTACACATATTACAACAATTTTTACATTTCAGGCTGGTGGCGGCAGAGGAGTCGCCATTGGCCACAGAGACAGGCTCCACGAAAGAAGAGGCGGAGCCATCGGCCACAGAGACGGGCTCCACGAAAGAGGCGGAGCCATCGGCCACAGAGACAGGCTCCACGAAAGAAGAGGCGGAGCCATCGGCCACAGAGACGGGCTCCACGAAAGAGGCGGAGCCATCGGCCACAGAGACAGGCTCCACGAAAGAAGAGGCGGAGCCATCGGCCACAGAGACGGGCTCCACGAAAGAAGAGGCGGAGCCATCTGCTGTAGAGATTTAGGGAAAAAACATTCTTAGGAAAAAACTATTACATTTATAATTAAAACTATTATGTTTAAATGTATTACAATTATACATGTTACAACAATTTTTACATTTCAGGCTGGTGGCGGCAGAGGAGTCGCCATTGGCCACAGAGACAGGCTCCACGAAAGAAGAGGCGGAGCCATCGGCCACAGAGACGGGCTCCACGAAAGAAGAGGCGGAGCCATCGGCCACAGAGACGGGCTCCACGAAAGAAGAGGCGGAGCCATTGGCTGTAGAGGTTTAGGGAAAAAACATTCTTAGGAAAAAACGGTTACATTTATAATTAAAAATATTATATATACACACATTTCAATTACACATAATACAAAAATTGTTACAGTCCGGGCTGATGGCGGCAGAGGAGTCGTCGGCCGTAGAAGCAGAGATGTTGGCCAAAGGGGCCGGGTCCACAGAGAAGTTGTCGGCGGCAGAGGCTGAGTTGTTCCGAGGTAAAAAAAGAAAACGAAAAAATCTTCTTAGAATAGAATTATAATATTATAGATTATAATAGCATTATTCATTATAAAATAATTATTCTAATGGTGATTTAATAATTTTAAGCACCTTCAGCATGGTGTCGGCTTAACTCAACACACAATGTTTACTACTAACCAGCCACAAAACATGTAATATATTATAGCTGAATATTCCTGTCATATATCATACATTACTTTGACACAATTACCCATGGCTGATAACAGAAAATATCCTAAGTGCAACATAATTTTAAATAATATGTATTGTGAAAAGTGCTAAACAAATAAACCTGAATTAATTTATAAGGAGAAATTCTAATTACGTTTTACTGCAAGTTCTGTTTTGTTTAATGATAAAAAATAAGACATCTGGACAACCAGTAATTATGCCACTGCATGCACTCTATAAAAATATATTGAGTATGACATCATAACAAACTTCTCGACAAGACAAAGAGTAAATGAGGACCCTTTTCACATTTATGGGGTTCTCAGAAGCGGAAGTCGCCATAGTTGGGTAAATTTCAATATTGGTGAATGGAAACTACAACAAATATATTTTATAATATAATTACAAAATTGCTTTTCCATTTGCTCCAAAAGCAAAAAAATAAATAAAATCCATGATAGCATTTCTGACTTTCCAAAATTATTAAAAAAAAAATATCGAGATTATGTTGGCCAGAAGAGAGAAAGATGTCTTAATTTGCCATCTCTCCCTCAGCCGTTGTATTAGAAATACTCACATAGCAGGCTTGTGCAAAATTCAGAAATTCAGAATTGGCCTCCATTCAATTCATGAATCTTGACTCGCAGTCAAGTCAAATATATTTATATAGCGCTTTTCACAATACAGATTGTATCAAAGCTGCTTCACAGTATCAATCAACACAACGTAACACTGTTTGTTTATTACTGGAAAAAAAAGACATCCAATTTTGGTAGAGCTGATCAATGGTATGATGGGTCATTTAATTTGAATATCCCCAACTGAGCAAGCCAAAGGCAACAGTGGCAAGGTTTTAATTATTTAATTATTAGCAGTGTTAATTATTTTTTTGAATTTTCATTCCAAGGTAATATTACACATATTACAGATTATATACACCGATCAGGCATAACATTGACCACTGATAGCTGCCTTAAATGAATGACACTGATTGTCTCTTCAGCACGGCACCTGTAAGTGGGTGGGACATAGCAAGTGAACATTTTGTCCTCGAAGTTGATGTGTGAGAAGCAGGAAAAATGAACAAGCGTAAGGATTTGAGTGAGTTTGACTAGGGCCAAATTGTGATGGCTAGACGAGTAGGTCAGAGCCAAACTGCAGCTTTTGTGGGGAGTTCTGGGTCTGCAGTGGTCAGTATCTATCAGTGGTCCAAGCAAGGAAGGAACAGTGGTGAACCGGCGACAGGGTCATGGGTGGCCATGGCTCATTGATGCACGTGGGGAACGAAGGCTGGCCTGTATGGTCCGAACCAACAGACGAGCTACTGTAGCTTAAATTGCTCAAGAAGATAATGGTTGGTTCTGATAGAAAGGTGTCAGAATACACAGTGCATCGCAGTTTTTTTACGTATAGGGCTGCATTGCCGCAGACCAGTCAGGGTGCCAATGCGGACCCCTGTCCACTGCCGAAGAAACCAACAGTGGAAATGTGAGCATCAGAACTGGACCACCAAACAATGAAAGAAGGTCGCCAGGTCAGATAAAGCATATTTTCATTTACTTCACGTGGATGGCCGGGTGCATGGAACACATAGCACCAGGATGCGCTATACGAAGAAGACAAGCGAGACAAGATGCTCCCGTGTCGCTGCTGACGTGTGCCTGGTGCCGTGTATTCGTTTAAAGTCTGAGGGACACGCACGCTGTAAACAAAACAATCTTCATAAACATGTCTAAGGATTTCGACACAGAGGAAGACTTGCATTTTTTGTGTGACAGTGTGCGTCTCCTTCAGACTGTAAACGAAGCTCGGGCGGGTGTGTCTGATTATTGTTGCCGTGACTACTGAGGTCAGGCACACCTGAATCAATCAATTTGTCCAATAATGGCAGACAGGAAACAAGGAGCTGGCTGAAGTTCAGGAAGTAGTGCAGCTGTGCATAAAGCCCATGGAGGGACAGAAAACTCTCGGACTAAATCTAAAATATCTTAAACTGTGTTTGGAAGATGAACGGAGGTCTTACGGGCTTAGAACGACATGAGGGCGAGTCATTAATGACATCATTTTCATTTTTGGGTGAACTAACCCTTTAACTTTGGACCACTCAGTAGCAGTCCAGTCCTTTTTGTCTTTAGCCCAGGCGAGACACTTCTGACGCTGTGTTTGTTCAAGAGTGGCTTGACACAAAAAATGCGACAGCTGAAACCCATGTCTTACATACGTCTGAATCTCTCTCACATTTTTGAATGGGTTTTGTTTCACAGTCCTTTCCAGAGTGCGGTTATCCCTACTGCTTGGTCACTTTTTCTACCATATCTTGTGTAGATGTGTAACCTACAGAACTAGACTGAGAGACCATTTAAAAGCCTTTGCAGGTGTTTTGATTAAATTAGCTGATTAGAGTGTGGCTCCAGGCCCGGGGTCTTCAATATTGAACCTTTTCACAATATTATAATTTTCTGAGATACTGATTTTGGGGTTTTCATTAGTTGTCAGTTATAATCATCAAAATTAAAAGGAATAAACACACACACACACACACACACACACACACATATATATATATATATATATATATATATAAACAAACTTTTTTAGATTTACCATGTTAATAACTGTGGAAATGCATCATCACAGTCTGTGAAAAAGGATCATTATAATAGGAAGAGCTTTTCAATTGGTAAACGCATATGTACAAATAAATACCTCTTACAACAGCCTCATAAAGTCTCTGCATGACTGGTACGGAGGGATGGCTCTGAATGTTGACGTTTTTAACTAAAATTTTTGTGGAGCGATGCTGGCCTTTCTGTGTTGTAATAAAGAGCATTGGTGAGAAGCCCAGTACTTGCAACTTATGAAGCTGAGAAGAGAGAAAAAAATGTTAAAGGCAAGAGTAAACAGTCAAATTAAAAACTATGCTTGTATCTACTATCTACTCAAATAAACATTGCTTATTTTTGTTTACTGAATTGTAGTTGTAATATTTATAATAATAATTTAAAATAAGTGTTTATTTTATATATTGAAATGAAATGATACTTACAAGCAAGTCCACACAATTCATAATTTTGCAAGAATTGCCATCTTTTTTCAATTTGGCTGCCCACTGATCGTCAAATTTTAATTTTGGGGATTTCAGGTTTTTCTTTTGAATAATCTTTATTCCACAGTGTTTGCAGGTTTTGGAGGCACTGCCGATTTCTTTGTAGCATGCACTGCACTGCCGTGTTGTGGATCCAGGTGCCATGAGAGAGAGAGAGAAGTATGAGATGTGAAGTAACTGCAAGACAAAAAAAGAGTGAATTAGAACTTTTGGATATATATATTTTTAATCCTTTATTCATTAAACATTTTATGTGTCTAACTATTTACAACAAAGCTCAAGATCCGCCCACAATCATATGACAAAATAAAAATAAATAATATGACAATACAATATAAAAAAATGTGACCGAAAAAGAAGGAATCTCAATGTCTCAAGATTTCTGGATTGAACATCAAATATTGAAAGCATGGCAAGTGTTGTAACTGGGTTCTTACGGTAAAAGCAAGGTTGCTGTTACCGAACTACAAAATAACACAGATATAGGCTAACTGTGGTTAAAACATGGTAAGATTTGAGTCCTATAAGTATAAAAACAAAATACCACAGAAGTAGAACAGTCAGTGGTAGTTACTACTTCCATTAATTATGAATATAATTAAATGATCGAAGATCTGTCATGTTATGTGGAAGCTATGCTAGTGTTTAATCACCCGCTAATCACAAGTAGCCTATCATGTGTTGGGTTAAAATTATTTTGAAGAAAGGGAATGTTACATAGATGACCAATTCAATTCAGAGAACATTTAGAAGCCGATCTGGATTAATATAGAGCATATAATTAACTTTATATCGAACACCAAGACACCGCCTGATTACTCACCGAGATTTGGCGTGTAAACTGTTGATAAATATCGCGATGTTGTGCGAACGAGAATTGGGTAACGCTTCTTGAATGAGATAAACAAAATCGTAGGATATAGTACGATTTAATCCATCCGTACGAATTAGTACGAATTCGCCGTTATCGCGATGTTGTGCGAACGAGAATTGGGTCACGCTTCTTGAATGAGATAAACAAAATCGTAGGATATAGTACGATTGAATCCATTCGTACGAATTAGTACGAATTCGCTGTTACACAGGGGTGTGTTATGGGATGAAGAATGTTACATAGATGACCAATTCAATTTAGAAAACGTTTACAAGCCGATCTGTATTAATATAGAGCATATAATTAATTTTATATCGAACACCAAGACATCTCCTAATAAAAACTCACCGACATTTGGCGTGTAAAACTGTTGATAAATATCGCGATGTTGTGCGAACGAGAATTGGGTGACGCTTCTTGAACGAGATAAAAAATAAATAAATAAATAAATAAAATCGTAGGATATAGTACGATTTAATCCATTTGTACGAATTAGTACGAATTCGCCGTTATCGCGATGTTGTGCGAACGAGAATTGGGTCACGCTTCTTGAATGAGATAAACAAAATCGTAGGATATAGTACGATTTAATCCATCCGTACAAATTAGTACGAATTCGCCGTTATCGCGATGTTGTGCGAACGAGAATTGGGTCACGCTTCTTGAATGAGATAAACAAAATCGTAGGATATAGTACGATTTAATCCATTCGTACGAATTAGTACGAGTTCGCCGTTCCACAGGGCCGTGTTAAATGGGATGAACAAATCGTACGATTTCGTACGAGCCAGCTCGTATGATTTCGTACGATTTAGCCACTTGGTTAAATCGTGCGAATTAGTACGAATTCGCCGTGAGATAGGGTTGAAAATGCACAAATTAGTATCGAAAAATGTTGATTTACAAGTTTTGTAACATTGCAGAGCACCTGTCCCACATTGATGATGAGCAAGGTTGTCCCACCCTTTCCCTTTAAATAGTCTGCACGTTCTCAGTCCCGAGGAGTTTGATACTGCTTACTTGTCCAAGAGAAATGGTCACTACTCATCATTTGCTCGACTAATTAAATATATTGAGAGTTAGTTGACGTAAGTGCAACGTTCCTTGTCAACAAAATGTCTAAAGGGAACCGTCAAAATAAAGTGTAACCGAAATATCATCTTTTTATAGAATTTACATTTTTTGGTGAACTTTTCCTTTAATGTGTAATGTGCGATAGGTGTGAATCAGAATTTAGAGTCAGAAGTGCTTATGGATGGAAAATATTTTATTATTTTGTGTTATTGTGCTCCGTCAGTTCGACCATCAAACTGAAAGACATGTACTGAACATTTTTGGTATACGTTACATGATTCATAGTTAACGTGCTTGAATAGCACACATTTACCAATGTGCACGGTCTCGGTGTGTGTCTTTGACTCCCACCTGTGATATTAGGGTATTAGTGTCTCACTTTGACTTAATAACATGTTTATGCTTTTCAAGGTTTTTTGATTCTGAGATGAAACTATTTCCGAATCTTTTTAATGATGAACTAAACAAAACCGTGTATTACCCATCAAATGTTTGTGTGTTCACCCTGAAGCCAGTCTAGCAGACATTTCTTCATGACTCTCTCGTTACGGAGCCCGGGAAGTCCCCTAGAAGAAGTAAAAAGAACTGCAAATTCGTCCTGTCAGTTTTTATATCTTACTCAGAGATTCTTAAATTGTTCCCTTGGTTTAAAGCCCGGGACACACCAAGACGACGTCAAAGAACTAGCGGCAATGAAAGCTGGCTGTGAAAAGCTCGGGCAAAAAAGCTGCGGTTGAACACACCAAAACGACTAAAGGCGACTGTGAACTAGCATTCTAGCATGCGTTCTGCCAGCATTCTAGCGTGCGTTCTGCGCATGTGTGCAAGCAAACATCTGTCTATATCACCAGCTATCAATAATCAATTTTCGTCATTCAAAAAAGGAAACTGAAACTACGACTGCAGATATAGTAAACAAATCAGTGTTAGCTTAGCATTTTGAATATCAATCACTCGGCACATGTTATTATGAAAATAGTTGTGCGTTCGAATGCTCTGGTAAGATGACATAAATCTATAACAGCCTTCTGTTTGTACACTGTAAAAAAAAATTGTTGGTTTAACTTAAAAAAGTAAGTAACCTGGCTGCCTTAATTTTAAGTTCATTGCAATGGAAAAATTGAGTTAATACAATGAAGGAGATTGATTTAATCATCAGAAACTCAAAATATTATGTTATCTGAACTTGATAAATTATTTAAGTTGATTTGACAAAAGAAAAAATGTTGTGATTGATTACAAATCATGAAAATATTTTTTAGAGTGTACTCTCTTTACTTTTTTTTCCACTTTCCCTTTTATTCTCATGCACTGACTCATTCTCTAAGCTGAACAGCCAATCACTTCTCTCTCTCACCAACGGTCTGACGCCGATCGTTGGCTTGGTGTGTCCCGGCCTTAACAAATTGTGCTCACAGGATTTATAAAACCTCACCTACAAATTTCCAATCTGTGCACTCAGATGCCGTGATAGCAAACGAATCAGTGATTTGTTAAACCGAGGGGAAAATTTAAGAAACTGTGAGTAAGGCTCATAAACTAGGGGACGCATTGTAAAACTGTGGCTACGGATTTGCGGTTCTTGTTTTTTTTTTTTTTTTTTTTTTTTTCCTCCTACAGATGACTTTTCGGGGCCTGTGTGTGTTGTTCTGGATAAAGTGATCAAAAAGACAGCTCAATAAGTATTTGAACACAGGCTTGAGATTGACATGAAAGTGCTGCAGTATATGATTCTCTCTGTGAGCACGGGTCAAGACACGGGTCACGGCGCAAAGAGCAATAGCAGGAATATATCAGCTGCAATTCCTCTTACACATTATTAAACTCTTGTCCTTGACTATTGTGGGTTTGTAATCTTGTATGTGTGCACATGCGAATTGATTTCTAGGTGTGTGTCTATGTTCACTCTCGATAGGGCCCTCCTTTCATTGTGTGTCCTTTAGTTTCACTTCTCTGGCGCTCTGAACATCACATACCTCTGAGGTAACATCTAAACATGCCTCACCGCAGCCAAGAGTGATAAAGAGTTTACGTCAATGGAAAACGGGAGAGGAGAAGTGGCTGAACGGATCACTTTACAGTCACTGATTGTTTAACCCATCAGTGGTACTATTTGTCACCATATTTGTCACTATTTGAATGTAATCATTTATTGTGCCATTATTTTAAAATGTGTTGTTTTAAGTTAATCACATTATTAAACGTCCAACAAAAAAGAAAGAAGAAACGTTCTGTTGGGTTTAATAGACCAGCTGAGCTAAATTTACCTTTTTTTTACTGGTTATAGTCATGACCAAGAAAGAAGTTTAGATTTTCACTCATGTTTTATGATTTATGTAGAAAAAACATGCAGTTTTTAAAATATTTGTATACATTCACATAGATTTTGCCTATAAAATGTGTTTGAAAGAAGTCTGTTCCGCTCACCAAGGCGGCATTTATTAGTAAAAAATACTTTATAAACAGCAATACTGTGAAATGTTATTACAATTTAAAATAACTTCCCTATTTTAATATTTTTTCGTGTTGTGGTAAAACTGAATTTTCAGCATCATTACCCCAGTTATCAGAAATTATTCAAATAGGCTTATTAGTTATTCTGAATCAATCTGGCTTACTTCTTTTCTGGTTCCATTACAGGAATCATAGATGACCTGCATGATAACCCATGGCTTTTTAATATTTGCAGGAAATGAAAGTCTTCTTTAGCAGGAGTAACAAGTAATGAGTGTCAAAGAGCTGACTGAATTGGGCATTGTTATGCTTAGTGAACCTAGTTCCCTTTCGTAGTCACTTCGAGTTACGTCAGAAGTGACGGAGATTGGGGGATTTCGCATAGAAAGCCAATCCTCTTCGAGTATTAAAACACGAGCCAATGGCATGCAATGCCTTGGGGCTGCGGAAATTTGCATAGCGTACTCCGCCCTACTCCGTGAGTATAAAAGGAGGAAGTGAACGCAACCGCAGTATGTTTTCGCTTCGGAGCCAAGAGAACCTCTTCACTCCTCAAAGCTGATTCAAGACTCTTCGAGACGAGCGTCCTCTTCAGTGTTGGTGTGACGGCGGTACCCAGCGAGATTCTGCATTGCCTGCGATCTGTGCAGTGGTTTGCCAGACTTTGCGCTTCTCCCTGGTAGCCTCAGCGCTGAAAGAGTGAATTTCTCTCCTCTCTGTAAAAGAGCTGCACGCGGCACGTCTTTTTAAAGATGGTTCGCCCGTGCCCTTCTGG